CTGGTATGCGTGAAAAACTTTGCATGTCCTGTTCCCACTTCGCAGAGTGCAACAGCTGCAGTCTCCCCCCCCCACAGACCCCAGTCACACACAAAAGGGCCAACTAAAAGGACTTTCCTGCCAACAATTCAAACGCACACGTGGCAAACCTAACCTGCTCCTCCTGAATTACCCGCCTCCATGTCAGCAACCTCCTTCAAAGCTGCCTCCTTCTCTGCCGCCTCTTTCAGCGCTGCCTCCTTCAGCTCTGACTCCTTCTGTACTGCCTCCTTCTCTGCTGCCTCCTTCTGCTCTGCCTCCTTCTGCGCTGCCTGCTTCTGCACTGCCTCCTTCTCTGCTGCCTCCTTCTGCTCTGCCTCCTTCTGCGCTGCCTCCTTCTCCGCTGCCTCTCTCAGCGCTACCTCCTTCAGCTCCGCATCCTTATGCACTGCCTCATTCTCTGCTGCCTCTCTCAGCTCTGCCTCCTTCTGCGCTGCCTCCTTCTCCGCTGCCTCTCTCAGCGCTACCTCCTTCAGCTCCGCCTCCTTCTGCACTGCCTCCTTCTCTGCTGCCTCTTTCAGCTCTGCCTCCTTCTGCGCTGCCTCCTTCTCCGCTGCCTCTCTCAGCGCTACCTCCTTCAGCTTCGCCTCCTTCTGCACTGCCTCCTTCTCTGCTGCCTCCTTCAGCTCTGCCTCCTTCTGCGCTGCCTCCTTCTCCGCTGCCTCTCTCAGCGCTACCTCCTTCAGCTCCGCCTCCTTCTGCACTGCCTCCTTCTCTGCTGCCTCTTTCAGCTCTGCCTCCTTCTGCGCTGCCTCCTTCTCCGCTGCCTCTCTCAGCGCTACCTCCTTCAGCTTCGCCTCCTTCTGCACTGCCTCCTTCTCTGCTGCCTCCTTCAGCTCTGCCTCCTTCTGCGCTGCCTCCTTCTCCGCTGCCTCTCTCAGCGCTACCTCCTTCAGCTCCGCCTCCTTCTGCACTGCCTCCTTCTCTGCTGCCTCCTTCTCTGCCCCCTTCTCCGCTGCCTCTTTCAGCGCTACCTCCTTAAGATCTGCCTCCTTCTGCACTGCCTCCTTCTCTGCTGCCTCCTTCAGCTCTGCCTCCTTCTGCACTACCTTCGGAGGAGGACGTTCACAGAATCCTTTGTGGAAGACTACTTGCTTTTTGCAACACAAAGTTCCGGCTTGATTTTTGGGCTTGTAATCAGGATAGCACGAGTCGTGACTTCGCGTGTAAGAAGCACATGACTGAGAGTTACCACATGACGCCGCATCGTGCCTAAAAACTCATCTGCCACTGGCCAAATGCTGTAACATAAATCCAGAAATGTGTGTGTTTGAGCGTTGGGCAGGTTGTCTCTGTCTGGACCTCCAGTCCCAAAAGCCCGACGCACATCACGGAGCGCGGAACAGCCCTGGCCTCAGCCTGTGGCCCTTCGGGCTCGGCTGCTGGCGCAGGGGCGTCCTGTCATCGTTCCGCATACGGACTCGCTGGGACATAACCATGATTTAGTTCTAACAAATGGGCCTTCCAGGATGCTCGTGCCCGAACACCCCAAAAAGCCCAAACAGATTCAGCTACAATTCCAACGTTCCTCGAGGCATCGTGGGGTTCACGAATATAGAGTCAATATAGGGGCTTAAAAAGCCAAGGTCCCTGTAAACTCTCCCACATTCCTTGCAGATTAACAGCTGCCCAAAAACCAGCACGCTCAGAGGAATCTGCTTCTTGGGGCAGCCTCCGTGCTAATCTCCCGGAGGCAAGAGACATGGTGTTCGCACTGTCCAGTATTGGTTTCGAGCCTCTGGTGGGAGCTCCCCCGCGTGCGTCAAGGGCTTGTCCTTGGAGGCGAGCCCTCACTTGGCCCAAAGCAGGGCTTAAGAAGCGGGGAGACTCACTCTGCTGCATCGAGGTGCCCAAAACATAACATTTTGAAGGCGAATCCCGCTGTGAACAAGGGAGACAAGGGGGTGCAACCGGGCGGTCTTTCGTGATGCGCCGACGACCACAATCCGGGGTATGGACAGCTCCGAGCGAGACCGCCCAGCTCCAGTAAGCCCTTCAAAAAAATGCACGAATCTGCCTGAAGTTGGCGTACCCACACATAGCCCCAGCTTCCAAAGCGCCAATCCAAACCGCAAATTAGCGGGAAGCTTATACTTTGCATCGGGCTCGCCGATTCAAGGGTAAAACAAGCGAAAACCCGAAGGTCCCCTCAAAAAGACGCGGGGAACCGGTTGAATTGGGGCCTTTGTAAAAGGAAGTGTTTTTGCGAAACCCTCCTGTCTACTTTGTTATCTTCGCTTTGCCTGAATTGAGAAACCACAGGTCCTCGATGAATGATCGGGAACCCCAATCAACTGGGGTACATTTTCGGGGATATATGTCCATCACCATTGAAGGTCAGCTTTGGATGGACCTGGATTGAAAATGGCATATCTAATTCCATCAACCCAGACACCATGCTCGGGTAACTTTGCCCACCCCCGCCTAAGCCACCCAACTCTGGTGCGCCAAGAGCGACCGAGCATCACTCGGCGCAGCCGGCTGGTCCGGCGCCCGAGCCTTCGGAGTCAGCCGGATGCCGAGGCTTGGGCCAAGCCATTTAAACACGGCTCAAGCATTAAAACAGCCTCTTTTGGCCGGCCGACCCCTCCCTCTGAGCTCCAAAAGATGATCCGAGCTGGGCTCCTTCTCCGCCCTTCCCGTTTCCATTTCTTCCGCTGCAAGACACCGACCATCGCATGCACGGCAAGGGCATGGCTGACGGCAGGATAGGGCCGGACCTTGGAAATTCTGCTGCCGAACAAGTTGCTAGTGGAAAAGCACTGATTTGCTCCCCAACTTAAGGCTAGGAGGCTAGCATAGGTCCAATAAAAGAGCATCGAAGTATCCCGACATCCTGAGCATTTAGGGTCTTTCATACACTTGGTGACTGGGGTGTCACAAATCAAGGCTTGGGCTGAGCGGCAAGAAGCCACTTTACCCACAAATCACCTGACCCAATGTGCAATGCGCAGAATGCATCGCCACTTTTTAGTGGCTTGGCTCTTGAAATGAGGAACCCCCTTCCCTCGGGCGCTTTCCATTACAGTACAGGAACCTCTTCAAAAAGTTGTCTCGACCACCCTAGCTGAAATCTTACAGGGCCAAGCGTGAGCTCCCTCACCAGGATCAAGGTCACCCCCGTTTCTTGCAGGTACGGGCAAGAAACCCACTTTCTGACTTTGATCGACCTTGAAAACCATCACCTCAGCTCAACCGCCCAAAAGGACCTGGGCACAATGGGTCCTAAGTCGCCCAAGGCGTGGATCAAATTATAGTTCTGGGACCCGAGGTTCACCATGCTTGGTGGAAAAGGGTGGAAGCCCCCGACCTCCTTCACGGCGCCACATGCCGGGCGACAAGGTCGGCAGCGAGTAGCCCTTGCTCTCCATAGACTGTTCTTCGGCCGCACGCTGGAGAATGCGGCTGGCTTTCTGTCTTCTGCGTGAGACTGGCGTCTGACGATGCGAGTCTGTTCTGTTTTGGAGCTTTGTTGGCTGCTAGCGGTTGCTCATGTGCACAAAGGACCGTTGTACATATATATATATATATATACATGTATATATATATATATACTATATATATATACATGTATATATATATATACTATATATATACACATTATTTTATGCAAATATACGTGTGCATGATGTGCAGGTGTGTTAAGAAATGGACAACAAACGGACTATGGAAGAACGCACAATGCTCGAGGGAAGTATGCATCATTGAGAGCTGCTCATCCAGAACAACCAAGCCCGAGCGTGCCAGTGGCTACCGGATTTGGTGTTGCAAACAAGCAGCAGCACGGACAAAGGATGGCGGATGCCATGGCAAAAAATGCCTCAAAGACGGTTCCAATCGCCATGAATACACGCAGCTCCTTAACAGGACCTATCGCTCACTTTGGGTTATGTGGGACCCTCGCCACGACAGCCTCAGCGGGGCTGAACGCATCAGGCTGCTGCCCTGCGTCGGCGTTTGGTGAGTATCTTGTCTATGCGTTCTCTTCTGCCGGGATCCTCGGACAAATCCGTCCGTCCGGACTTTCAATTTTCCCGCGTGACACGCTCTTCGAGTCCCCAAGCACCTCAAGGCATCATCGCTATGCTACCTGCCCAAAGCTGCAGCTACATGCCCAACGGCGGAAGGAAAGGACTGTTTTGATTTTTTGTGTCGACTCTTAAAGACAAGCAGGCCGCCACTGGACTGGGGCTACATTGATCCCTGCAAGGACCCCCCAAAACTGAGAACTCGGAAGAGTGAAACGGGCCTGGGCCAGACTGCCCGGTGCCCGGATAAAAGCTGGTAAAACGCCCGAAATCGCGTTGGCCAGCCGTGGATTGGGGGGCTTTCAGAGGTTGCACTCTGGCAACCTCCAGCCTGGCCCCCAGCAGCCCGAGCCGCTGGGAGTCGTCGGCGGCGCTTCCCGAGTCCCACGACCGGCCGTGCCAGCCCATTCTGCGCTTCCGCGAAGGATGGAAAGGTGCAGGGCAGGTGCTTCTGGTTTCCCTTGAAATACAACAAAAATCCAGACTTTCCTGAAAACACGCATCCATTTATGAAGAGCCTGAATTTCAGGCCACTCAGAGGGGCAAGAAGATAAGAAAGCGACTTGTTGCGTACAAACAACTGCTTGTCCTGTCAAATTGGATCAAGCAAACAACCGTCAGCACGTCGGCTCTGAGCCCTCCCCCCCCATTTGTTGCGGCCATGCTTCGCATTGCCGCGCCAAAAACCAAAAATATGCGACTCATTTGCCCAGACGGGCCCTGAAAGGGAAGATTCGCTCTGGGCAAAGGTAGCACTGGATGGCCAGCTGGCCCAGGCCTGCCACATCGGGCGGGGCGCAACACGTGCCACACATCGGACATGGCGGTCCTTGCACCACAAAAAGGGAAACCACCATATGGCAGAAGGAAGGATATCTTCTGAACAACGCAAAGCCCTTGGTCTCGCAAGGGCTCTAAACCAGGGCCCGTCGTGCGTTAAAAACAATGATCATCTTCAGGGAGCCCTGACCCTCACTTTTAGCACGCAAAGAAGCCGAAACGTGTTTCAATGCTTTCATCACACGGGAATCTCAATCGAAAGGGGCCAAAAAAGGCAATGTGTGCATTGCCAAAACATGGACGTCACGCAAGTAACAACCCATTTGGAGGAGGGTTCACAATCGTTTCGGGTAAGTAATCTCATTTCGGACGGGATTGCTGATCACACGTGGAGGATGAACCCCATGGCTAACAGAACCAACCACCAACTGGTGCCTGGCGCGGATTTTGTCCATTCACGGGGCCCTGAGTCCATCCGTGTTCGACCCCGGCCTATCGGCTCATGGGCTCCGAGGGCGTTCCGGGCTCCGCTGGGCATCGAACGCCTGGCGAAAAAACTGCCTGGCCATGGAAAAGGGGACCCACGTTCTCGCTTGCTGGGTGGACTTTCTGCTCACAAAAGAAAGGACTTGCCCAGAAGCTGTCAGTCCAGGAGCCCAGCGAATGAGCTTTAACTTGGCCCTTCCAAAGGGTGAAGCGACCGGGCACTATATTGCCACTTAGGGGATTCCCCTAGTATCATAGAAGATATGCCCAGACCCAACTTCCCACAGCTGCTGCCATAACTTACAACAGCAACCATTCGTCGCCCAGGTCCCACTGAGCCGCCGACACGGGTTGGAGAAGCGCCGGGGAGCACGGGGAGAAAGGCCCATCTTGGCGACCTGCGTAAGCGGAAAGTTCCTAACCCTTCCCAAAAGCAAACATGGAACCCGCCAAGGGCCCCTCTTGTTCGGTGTGTTTTTTTGGCAGAATAGCCGGCAGCATGAGAAAAACACAAACACAGGCATTCGTTTAAATATCATGTCGCTAGAAACCTCTACTGGGAAGAACGTGGGGCGTCCGTCCATACATTATACTTCCCTTGCAATCTGTTCCCCATAGTAATGAAGGCCCCCTAATGATTACAATGATCGGCCAACGGGGTCGCGACTAGGCTAATACTGAACCAACACTCAACGACCTATTCTAAAACAAAGGAACCAGCACAACTCCAAATTAAACCTGCAACAGCTTACCCCGTTTAACTTTCTTACTCAACGGAACCACCCCTGTAGGGTAAAACTGACATGGGGGAAAGCTCGGAGGACCCACAGAAAACCCAAAGCCGCTCCTTGACCCCGCGCCGGTGGATCAGATCCTGGCGCCCTTTGGGCAACCTGGGCCGCGCCTCGCCCAAGGCCTTCACGGAGGCGTCCCGCACCAAGGCCACCCCCATCTCCGCCCCCGAGGCCAAAGAAGTTTGCAAATCCGCCCGCAGCCGTGCGTTGTCCTGCTCCTTGGTTGGAGTTCTCAGGCCCGGGGCTTAGGTTCTTACCCCCCGAAAGTGGCAGTCTCTGGTGGGTCCAATCAGATACTGTAGCTTTCTTAAGGAAACACCAGCAAAAATCCCTGATTGCATGGGAGATTTGAGCGGAACTGCCCTGCCAGCCAGGAGCAAAACCACTTTGCGCCACATACAAGCACAAACAGCGTCCTACTGAATTCACCGGCACCACAACGATTTTGACAGCATCATTCTGATCATACAACAGCAGCGACACGCAACATATAAGCCTATAAGCACAAACGATGTCCTGGTGAAATCAGCAGCATCACTATGATTTTGACAGCATCATCAAAAACTACAACAGCCACGGGCCAGTATGCACGGCAGGCGGCTCAAGTAAATCAACGGCACCATGATGACATCAACACTTCCACCGACCGCATCTCGGCCTGCCAATAACTTTCGCGGTGTCCCATTTAAGACACCCCCGTGGAACAAATTGCCGAATAAGGAAACATGACGAGATGGAGGGATACGTCGACAGAAGCGAGAAGAACGTAGATGGGTGACTACATTCCACAGATCAAAAAGTTTCTAGATGCGTAGACAGACCAATAGACAGACTGGGGTGATAAGCGGTTGACAAACCAAGAGCGGAGGAACACGCGCAGCCTGGCGAAGAGACAAACACGACTGACGCGCAAATAGGCAGCCAGCTGGGTAGACAAACAAATGGCCTTGGAGACATGTCCATACCAAGCACACCCACCCGAAAAGCGGATTTGATGCGAACCAACACCACCCCACCAATCAACCAACCAACCAACCAACCAACCAAGACAAGCCAACACCAGCCCAAGCCAAACCCTCAACCCCAAACCACACAACCGAAAACCAAACACACCGGCTGAGACCCCAAATCGTTCAGCTGTTGGGGAGAAAGCTGTTTCCTTGTTGTGGCACCAAAAAACCGGGGAACACAGTGTGAAGCAAGCCCCCAGCTTCTTTGGGCTGAACATTTTAGCTGGGCGTCCTACAGCGCGGATAACGCAATCATCCGACGAACCCCCAAAACAAACAAATTAGTCTCCACTGGAAGGGGAGGCTAAGCCCACCCTGGTCTCCGGAGCAATCCGAACTTGATGATATTCAATCACAGCCCCAAGTCCCCCCCCTTGGGCTGGTTGTACGGCATGGCAACATGTGCTTCAACAACCAACAGTGAGAACCTGTTTTATGAGAGTGGGACCTCCTGGGAGGTTGGGTTTTCTACAAAGCAGTTTGTTCAATGCAACTTGGTTGTGCATCATCTGGCCAGTCTGCTTCAACACCACCTCCTATAAACCTTGATTTGAATTATTCAGGAACTCTGCTTGAACAATCCTGCATCCACTTTGGTGTGAAACATCTGAATACCAGCCCCCACAAGGTTTCACACCGGTTGCTTTGGAGCAGCTCGCAGCGGCAGACAAGGAGCTGTGGATGGCCGTGTCCCACAAGGTGGGTGCTTCCTTGCCTGGTGATGAGGATTTCCTTGTGGGCCGGGCCATCGAGGAGCTCATGCTCACGCCGCCCGTTGCGATGCAGCTACTCCCTCTTTCCGGAGCGTCGGCCCCTGCGCCGGGTAGGCGCCCCTCCCAGGCCCCTGTGCTGCCCAGCGCTTCTCCCCAAGAAGCTCTTCCAAAGGCCCCTGTGCCTTCTGGGTCTGCCCCTGTGCGGCCCAGCGCTGCGTTTCCCTTGGCCCCTGTGCCTAGCGGGTGTGCACCCCGCCGCTTCCCAGGTCGCAGTTTCCTTTCTTGCTCATGCCCCAGGCACACTCACTCAAGTGTCCCCTGCTTTGCCTTCCAAAGAGCCTAGTCCATCAGGAGACTATGCCTTGGCTTCGCCTTTCCGAGGATCTTGCTTCCTCTGCCAGTCCCTCTGTTTCTGCACCTGCCCGCGGCCCTCAAGGCCGCGCACCTTGTGTGGTAGAAATCTTTGCAGGTTCGTGCAATGGGTTTTCAGTCATGGCAGTGGATCATGTCCCAGCAAAGCGGTGGCATGTTTTACAGTTGGACTTGCGCGAGCCTAGCGCCCAGCAGTTGCTACTGAGCACACTCAAGTGCTTGATGCCGGCCCTGGTGGTTAGCGCCCCCGTGCGGCACTGCTTCCCGAGCAAGGGATATCCCAGCTTACAGTAATGGGCGACGAATTGCGAACCCGCTCCGTTCGGGCCAGTGTCCGGACGGTTTGCCTTCACTTCGAGGCCAGGACCTTGCTAGGGTGACCAGCGCGTTTGCGGCAGCAGTCGCAGGCACGTGCAGCCAGCGCGGCATACCTTGGCTTATTGAGAACCCTGCTCGCAGTTATATGTGGGACACTTCCATGATGAGCGGCCTCCCTCAGCATGCACAGACAGAGGTCCACTTTTGCGCTTATGGCGGTGCTCGCCGCAAGCGCACTCTGTTGAAAGGTACTCCCACCTGGTTACAGGCGCTTTGCCGCACTTGTGACGGCAATCATTTCCATGCCCCATGGAAAGATTCCTTGGGAATTCACACAGCGGAGGAAGCCGCTTACCCACTGCCTTTTTGCCAAGCCATTTGCCAATTACTGAGGGACTCTTTGCCTCCGCACAGCCGCCCCAGGTCTGTGTTTGTGGGCAAGGCACTGCCGCAGCGGGATGATGCACTTTTTCTTCGAGCTGCAGTGAAGTTTCAGCCTCGCTCGTGGGTCTTTCCAAATTTGCCTTCTCCTTTGACTTGCAACTGTTTCCCTTTTCGACACGGCATGGTTTCGAGGCAAGCGGCTGCCAAAGAGTTGGCTGGGGATGGACATGAGAAGGTAGCTGTCAAGTGCATGGCAAGCTCTCGCAAAAACGTAGCGGTCGCCCTCGCCACGCTTCCATGTCGGGCATCTCCAAGAAGAAGGCGGATGGCAAGTCCATCGGTCATGGTTGGTTCATGCTAGTTGCTCCTCGGGATGTTCGCATCGTCGGAGTCTCGTGCGTGATGAAGCCTGAGAATAATGACATCGCCAGGACAACTCTCAGCAAGGTCCTCCCCAAATACAAGAATGTGGACACTTTCATCTTCGACGGGCAGTGCAGCTTCGCTCCGTCTACGCAGGATCTCCCAGAGTTCAAGCAGGTGAAGTACTGGTCTGTGGATAAGATCCTAGGCACGTTTCATTCTCGCTTTTGATTCCCCTGTAGGAGTTCTACAATAATTTCGCCGCATGTTTTCCATGTTTTCATGACAAGTCAAGGTTCCACGGGCACGGGCACAAGGATGCGTGCAAAAACAATCCCCACACAGTGGTCCGCCTCAAGCGACGCCTCAAGAACGTCAACACGTCCATTTGCGAGCAGACCTGGTCATGGTTCAGGAACTACGCCCGCATCCTGAACTCGGCCTCCCCGCAGCGTCACGTGTTCAAGGTGTTGTACTTCTGCAAGCTGCACAACTTGAAGATTAATGGCAAGAACACAGCGCATCTCAATCCCTTCGGGCCCTTCAACGCAAAGTTCAACAAGTCCAAGCCCTACGGTTGCCCAAAGAAGTCTGTGCGCAAGACGGTCATGAAGAAGCCTTCCAGCAAGTGCGGTAACACGGTGATGAAGAAGCCTTCCAGCAAGTGCGGTAACACGGTGATGAAGAAGCCGTCCAGCAAGTGTGCCAAGTGAACCCTGAAGCAATGATCTGCGAGCATGCCAATAGAGCTGCAGTTTTGATCTTACACGGGCGCAGAGGAAAACACAGAGAGATGCTTTGCAAGTTCCAGCGCTGCGCAAGCTTTAGTCTGTACAACAAGATTGTTTTTTTGGGACAGTTCCACACTTTTTTTGGGGTCGACCTCACAAAATGCGAGACTGTCCCAAAAAAACAAATCCTGGCAAGCCCAGACCCAAAAAAACTTGAGACTGTCCCAAAAAAACAAGAAAAAAGCAATCCCTGGGGGTCTTGGGCCAAGAGCTCAAGACTCTGCAGGATTGGTTTTTGAGTTTTTTGGGACAGTCTCGAGTTTTTTTTTTGGGTCTGGGCTTGCCAGGATTGGTTTTTTTGGGACAGTCTCGCATTTTGGGAGGCCGACCCCAAAAAAAGTGTGGAACTCTCCCAAACAAACCAATCCTGGCAAGCCCAGACCGTCCCAAAAAAAAAAAATCCCTGGGGGGTCTTGGGCAGGGCAAGAGCTCAAGACTCTGCAGGATTGTTTTTTTTGAGTTTTTTGGGACAGTCTCGAGTTTTTTTGGGGTCTGGGCTTGCCAGGATTGGTTTTTTTGGGGCAGTCTCGCATTTTGGGAGGCCGACCCCAAAAAAGTGTGGAACTGTCCCAAAAAAACAATCCTGTCAAGCCCAGGCCGCAACAAGAATACTGACACAAAAACAAAAAAACACGAACAGTGAGCATCACTAAGAAACACGGCTTTGTAGAAAACACAACCTCCCAGGAGGTCCCTTTCTGTTTCTGAAGGGGACATCAAGAGGTAGCTTGAACAATAGCGGTTGGAACCTCAGCTGCGCCTCTTGGGGTTGGCCACTTGTCGACTTGGGAAGGGCCATATCAGTAGTAGTCGGGGGCCTTGCCCAGCAATAAATTGCTTTCATACATACACCCCCCCTACATTTTTTTTCATCTTCCATCTTCTACCCTTATTTGTTTTCATCATTTTTCTACATTCCTTTCTGTCCATCTCATCCGTTTTTTTATCATCATTTTTCCAAAATGTTCGCCATCCTTTTCTCCTTCCTCCTCGCCTCATTCATTTCACCAACTACCCTCCAAAATGTCATTTCCTCAATCTCCTCACCTCATCCATTTCAAAAAAAGAAATTTTGCAAAATATATTGCAAAAAATGTTTGTCATCAAAAAAATATTCGAACTGTCTAAAATCGATTTGTCCATTTCCCGGACAAAAAATAGAACAGCAACAACATCACTCCCTCCTTCGTTTCATCAGTTTCATCATATATTTTTTTGGGCGTGGTGTCCCTTGTAGGATTTTATCTTCAATATATAAAACGCTATACTTACATTATAATTATAACATATAAGGGTATAAATGTTATTATTATAGTATGATTAAGAATTATGGGTTACATTTATAGTCAGGAAAAATGTCTTCAAATATGTAATCTACATATTTATCAATATCACCAATGTCTATATATTTGATATTGTCTTTTCCTATTATTGAATAAATATATTCCCAGAAAAACAAATTAACTAGTAGCCATACTTGATATTTAGTGTTGTAGTAAGACCATACATGATATTTAGTTATTCTAAATTCATTCAAGACCTCGTTTATTTTATCTTTACTTAATAAATGCCAATCAATCGCTTCAAACATGTCTCGAAATTTTTAAACGAATGCTTTATATGGTTTAATTGCGTTTGCCCCTCCAAACCTCTTAATTAAATCTTTATTACTAAAGAACTCATCAATTTCTTTTTCAAATGACTTTCTAGCAATTTTATGGTAAAAACATACAGGAAATCGTTTTTGATATCTCATGAAGAATTTCAATTGTAATTGAAACTTTGTATATCCCTTAGCCTTATGTTCTTCAACAAAAAACTTTTCAAGGTCTCTTGTTATACAGCATTGATTACAATATACATCATATTCACTTATTTTATTACATAGATTGGCGGGTAAGTCATAACTTATACAATGTTATATTAACATCATTCCTTGTAGTTTTACAACATTCGCACTTTGAATAATTAAATAACATTTCCACTGTAATATGTATAGTGTTTATTTCTTTAAATACTTTTTACAAGAAATAAAATTACATATTGAAATATAATTATAACATATAATATTTTACATGTTATTATTATATTATGATTATAATTTAAGTTCAGGATAATAATTTAATTGATATATCTTACCTCTTTCATACATCATTTTAAAAATAAGATTAATATCTCTCACTGTATTTTTAACATTAAACTGTTCACTTTCAATATATGATTTTATGACTTTTTTTACATCAACGCCGGGTTTACTATAATAAATCAACATCCATAATATGTCATTAATCATTTCACACTTTTTCTTACTGATTTTAAGAAACTGTTTAACATAATCGTAAGGTGGTCTTTCATACACAGTTAAATTAAAAATATCAATATTTCATCTTCAACATTTCTTTCATCTATATTTTTAAACGCCAAACAATTTTCTATTATATTTTGATATCGTCTCCATCTTCTACAAGTTCTACATATATTTTCTTCGTCCAAAGAATAATCAATAATATTATTAACTATTCCATTAGGTAAATTCAATTTATATAACTCCATATTTTCTTTTTTAAAGTGGCAACAATCGTAGCATTTCTTATTGATATAATTATTGATTTCGGTTTCCACCATTTCTATTATAATATATATAGTTTTTATTTCTTTAAATACTTTTTTACAAGAAATAAAATTAAATATTGAAATATAATTATAACATATAATATTTTACATGCTAATATTATAGTATGATTATAATTTAAGTTCAGGATAATAAGTTAATTGATGATTGTTAAATTGTGTAAATATCTTACGTTTGTCATGCATCAGTTCAAAAATAATATTAATAGTTTTCACGGTATTTTTAACATTAAACTGTTCACTTTCAATATATGATTTAATGTCTTCTTTTAAATCACATCCCTCTCTTCTACGATGTAACAACATCCATAAAATGTGGTCAATCAGTTCATACCTTTTCTTTTACTGATTTTGAGAAATGCTCTAACATAACTATAAGGTGGTCTTCCATACACAGTTAAAAATATCAAAATTTCATATTCAACATTTCTATTACTTCTTCTTTCCAGATTTAAATGATATCTGATTAATTCTTGATTATTTCTCCATTCCTGACAAATTTTACATTCATCTTCTTCACTCAAAGCATAATCGATAATATGATTAACTATTCCATTAGGTAAATTCAATTTATATAATTCCATATTTTCTTTTTTAAAGTGGCAACAATCGTAGCATTTCTTATTGATATAATTATTGATTTCGGTTTCCACCATTTCTATTATAATATATATAGTTTCTATTTCTTTAAATACTTTTTTCCAAGAAATAAATTTATACCTTTAATAACTCATGTCTCAAAAATGCCCTGTCATAATTTTCAATATAATAATATTCCTGTCCTAACTTCTTTTCAATCTTTGCTATTTTGTAGGTTTGTTTAGTCCATACTCCTACTCTCTCCTTTTCGTTCGGTCTCCTTTTCCTGAATATCTTAACTTCATTTCCTACATTTAAATCTGGATAAACTCTATTTCTTTTGGCTTTCATACCTAAATTTAAACTCACTTCTAATTGATGTTTAGGCTTTCTTGCTTCTGACGGTGTTAAGCCGTGCGAAGTGTGCTTTATTCCATTGTTATAAGTTAATATAATCTCGTGTATGTAGTCTGTCCATTGAATAGCCTTTCCTTTTTTCTCATCGTTTTCAACCCTCTTATACAAGCTATCTTTAAACGTCCTTATCGCCCTCTCCGCGAATGCTGGGTGACCTCTGGTTCTATGTAATTCTATTTTTTCATCTTTCAAAAAATCTATAACACTTTGATTATTATAAGCTCCTTCATCGTCAATATAAATTAGTTTGGGCTTTCCATCCATTTTTTTAATACATTCCATCAGTCCTGCTAAAATGTCCGCTGGCTGTTTTGACATAAGCGGGACAACAACCATATACTTAGAAAATATGTCAATACACATCATGCCAACTTTCATTTTTTGTTTAGGGATATCATTAATGAAAAATAAATCAATTTGAAACTCATAATATGCGTTAGGAGCTACAAATGAATTCTGTCCTCTTGGCTTGGCTTTCTGTTCTACATTCTTCCTAAAAAACTCATTAATATCGTTTATAGTTATTGTGTTATCCTTTTTCTTGCTTCTTGTAAAGTGCGGTTCTTTGACCCGAAGCCTCCTTTATCATAATAAACATTATTAATAATATCTTGCTTAGATGCCATATAAAATAATATAGATATTATTTTTCCCGGCGATTACAGTTTAAACAGTAAGATATACAGTTTTCCTTATGATGGGCATAATCGTTGTTTATTCTTTGGGCTGTCATATTGCTATTTATTACTCCATTATTTATTTCTATGTCAAAATCTGAACTGCATTTATTACATCTGGTATTAAGCCTGTCAAATAACCATTTGACATCAATATATTGTTTGTTGTCTATCTCTCTCTCTGCTTTCATGTCTTGTAATTTATATTGTTTAATCTTATGTTCTAAATATCTGGCTACTTGTGCTTCATTTAAATCAGTATCATCTACGTCTGCTTTGAAAAACTTGACTTTATTGATATCTCTGCATCTCGTGAGGGCTGTCCAAATCCACTCACGGCTGACCAAATGTGATTTATCCCATTCGTGGATTGTAATGCTTTTATCTAGAGAAGCCCCTTGAGACGAATGACATGTAGCACAATACGCATGTATAAAGTGCTTGTCTAAAGTCGTGGTGTTTGTCATGAATATAGTTTTACTTTTGATATCTTGGATTTCTACTTTCCAATCATCAATACTAATAATTTTATAAGTAATATTTACATTAAACACCTGCCCCATTTCTTTTTTATAAACTCTGCATATCACATGCTCTCCAATTTCATATTTATCTGTC